GAATATTCCCCCTGAAGAGGGACACGCCCGGCTTAAAGCCAGGACGAGGTTAAAAATCTGGTGGGAATAAAACGAACATCCCTGAGATCCGGCGGCGGCTCTAGAAGACGTCTCGGGCACCCTGGCCGTCTCAGAGCAGCGTTCCGGAACGTTCTATGAGAGCGTTCTGGAGCGCTCCAGAATGGATTTCTCCTCGTCCTGGCCCAGACATCTGGCCGCTCCAATTTTTTCGATGCGTGGGCCCCAGAGGTTCAGACCACTTCCCCGGGGCGGGATCTTCGTCCTGGGCCCTTTATTGACGCCCCCGAGGCCCAGCGAGGGCTCCCTGGAGGCCAGAAACAATCCAAATCCCGCCGCCCCAATTTTTTAGGAGCGTCGGATCTCGGGGAGCCCCGTCTTCAGCAGAGACCCACCGTCCCGGCATTCCTATAGGCCAACCGCGAAATTGTCTTAGAACCCCGAACTGTTCTAAAAACAAAGCCAAGGTTAGAACAGAAACCCGATGTGTGAAACAAGACAGTCTCAGCCAGAAACGCTCTAAGAACATTTCGTGCAGACCACAAGAGGTTCCTAGCACATTCTCTGGTGGGCATATGGGCAAGTCAAGACGTTTCGCCACTGCTTGATAATCAACACCCGGACAAACGAAGCCGTTTAGTAAACGCACCAATGGAAGGAATCGAACAGGGCAGGCCTGTTTGGTAAACGCCCAGGGCCTCTAATAGACGAGCGCTTTCCACTACTCGCAATGGAACTACTCGCAAATGGCCGGGATCCGCCGTGGGGCATCTACCATACTACATGTCTTTTTCGGACGTTTGCAAGTCGGCACTTTCCAAATAGTGGAGCGCTCTCGGTGATTTGAGCAAGCGAGGACGAGGACGAGGCGGCGAAGGAGGAGGAGGAGGAGGAGGAGGAGGTCGAGGAGGAGGAGGAGGTCGAGGAAGACGAGGGAGGAGGAGGTCGAGGAGGAAGAGGAGGAGGTCGAGGAAGAGGAGGAGAGGAAGGAGGAGGAGGAGGAGGAGGAGGAGGAGGAGGAGAAGGGGAGGAGGAGAGGAAGGAGGAGGAGGAGGAGGCCGAGGAGAAGGAGAAGGAGGAGGGGGAGGAGAAGGAGGAGGAGGAGGAGGAGGAGGAAGAAGACGAGGGGGGAGGAGGTCGAGGAGGAGAAGGACGAGGAGGAGGAGGAGGAGAGAAGGGACAAAAGAAGGATAAACAGAACAGAAGGAAAAAGGAGGCGAGGGAGAGGACGATGAGAAGGACGAGGAGGAGGAGGAGGAGGAGGAGGAGGAGGAGGAGCAGGAGGAGGAGGAGGAGGAGAAGGAGGAGGAGAGGAGGAGGAGGAGGAGGACGAGGATGGGAGGAGGTCGAGGAGGCGAAGGCCGAGGAGGAGGAGGAGGCTGAGGACCCTGCTCGACCGTCCGACACCGCGCGAACACGCGGGCCCGGCAGCAGCACCCGTGCCGGGCAGGGGGGGGGGGGGGGCCCGGGGCGGCGCGGCGCGGCCTGGGCCGGCGGCGCACCGCCCGGGGGGGGAGGGACGCCGCTGCGACGCGCGCCCCCGGTGGGCGCGGCGTGGGCCTCTGCAGAGGTCGAGGAGGGCCCCTGCAGGGGCCAGGAAGACCATACGATCTATCTCTCTCTATATATATATATAATGTGTGAAATAAATCACTTATGTTTGATCATCGGTACAATTGTGTATATGTACATACATATATATGTATACATGCATACACGCATATACATACACACGTATATACATACATACATATATATACATATATGCATCAATGACATCGATTCATCATATATTGCCGCAAAGGCTTGGAACGTAATATGGGCCCGTGCGAGGTCGGGCATGTCCTCCTACAGGTCGGGGAATAACAAATAATCGAAACATAGATTCAAACATCGTTCATAACGAAAGCGCGCCACTGGATCACCCTGTAATTGAAAAGGGGGGGTGAGATTTTCGATCCCCCCCCCCCTCCCCCCTTAAGGGGGGGGGGGTTCGACCCCTCCCTCCCCCCCCCCCTTGAAGGAGGAGGGGGGGTCCGGACCCCCCCCTCCCCCTCCCCCCCTTGGCGCTGGAAAAGGGGGGGGGTTCGGACCCCCCCCCTCCCCTCTGCGCCGGAAAGGGATCCGGGGAAGGGGCCTCTCTCGCTTCTCCTTTCTGCGCCGGAGTGCGGAGTTGGGAGTAGTTGGTAGTGAGTTAGTGCGTAGTGAATAGTGAGTATTGGGTAGTGAGTAGTGAGTGGCGAGAAAGGGAGGGGGGAGTAGGGAGTAGGGAGCGGGGAGTAGTGAGTAGTGAATAGTGAGTAATGTGTCCTGATAAGTGAGTAGTGAGTATCGAGTAGTGAGTAGCGAGTAGTGAATGCAGAGTAGGGAATAAGGAGTAATGAGTAGTGGGTAGTGAGTAGTGGGTGGCGAGTAGTGATTACTGGGTAGTAAGTAGTGGGTAGTGCGTAGTGATTCGTGAGTAGAGAGTTGCGAGTAGTGAATAGTGAGTAGTGTGTAGTGAGTAGTGCGTAGTGAGTAGTGATGAAAAGAGAGCAGTGGGTAATGGGCAGTGGGTAGTGAGTAGCGAGTAGTGCGAAGTGAGGGGCGAGTAGGGCGTAGTGAGTAGTGAGTAGGGAGTTGGGAGTAGTCAGTAGTGAGTAACGAGTAGGGAGTAGCGAGTAGTGACGAGTGAGTAGTAGGAAGTGGGTAGCGAGTAGTGGGTAGTGAGTAGCGATTAGTGAGTAGTGGGTAGTGTCTAGTGACTAGTGAGAGACTAGTGACTAGTGAGCAGGGAATAGTAAGTGGTGAGTAGCGGTGAGTGAGTAGTGAGTATTGCGAAGCGAGTATGGGAGTAAGCGAGTAGTGAGTACTGCGTACTGTGTAGTCCGTACTGTGTAAGGAGTAGGGGGTAGCGAGTAGCGAGTAGTGGGTCGTGAGTGGTGAGTTGTGAGCAGTGGGTAGTGACTAGTGAATTGTGCGTAGTGGATGGTGGTTAGTGGGCAATGAGTAGTGAGTAGTGAGTAGTGATTAGTGAGTACTGAATAGTGAGTAGGGAGTAGTGAATAGGGAGTAGTGGGTAGTGGATAATGAGTAGTGAGTCGTGAGTAGGGGGTAGTGAGAAGTGAGTAGTGAGAGTGCTCTTTGGGTCTGGGGTTAAGGGTCCGGGTTCGGGAGTTGGGTTAGGGTGAGGACTAGGGTTGGGGCTGGCGGGGGTCGGGTTCCAGAGTCAGGGGGCGGCGTGGCGAAAGGGGGGAGGGGGGGGGGGGTGCGGCCAAAGGGGGGGAGAGGGGGGGGGGTTCCCGACGACTGACCAAAAAAGGGAGGGAGGGGGGGGGGTCCCCGACGACGGATCGGGGAAGGCGGGGAGGGGGGGGGGGTTCTCCGACGACGGAGGGGTTCCCCCCCCCCCTCTGGGGAGATCCAGCGGCGCGCACTCGTTCATAACAGTAGAAAAATCATCCCCAGACTACTTTGGGACTATTTTTGAATATTCCTCCTGTGGAGGGACACGCCCGACTTAAGCCAAGGTGAGACCAAACACTTGACTGCAAAGGCTCGATCTGTCTGAGGTACTTGCGTGGGCATGCCCCTGGGACCGGAGAGTCTAGCAGGGACCGGCCTCACCGGCATTCGTATAGGCCTGCCACAAGGGGTTCTCATGACAAAAAAGAATGTCCGAGCAGCAGGGCATTACTCCCATAGACTATAGCATGGATGGATCAAAACGAAAACGCCGCAACCAGACGGTTTCCAAGAGCACGCCGTGCAAACCACAAGAGGTTCTTGTAACACTCTTCGGTGGGCTGAAAGATCATAGTAAAGAACAGAGTCAAGGCGCTTCGCCACTGCTTGAACTTGGAATCGGAGACGGTTAACATTAGGTCGGGCATGTGCCCCTACAGGCGGATTTCGGACGAAACAATCAAAACAACAATCAAGACAAGTGCTCCAAAAATAAGCAAAAGAAAGTCCAAACATCGACCGCTGACTATTATGTATGCTTTTTTTGAATATTTCTCCTGTAGACGGGAGAATACGGCTACATATCGACGTGGCTACATCATGAGAAAACGGATGAGTGGGGACTGTCGGGCAATCAGCTCCTGAAGCACGCATTGTCCTGATTAGAACCCTGACGCGCGCAGCTTCTCATGCGAGGCCATGGCCTCACCCGCCTCGCCCTTAAGGGGCCCGGGCGCATGTCCGCACAGGCGTTCCGTTCCGTTCCCTGTAGAGGGACACGCCCGACTTAAAGTTAACATTGGGGAAACGGGTTCTGAGGGGAACGGGTCCAGGACTCGGGGGCCCTCCGCCCCAGGACGAGCTCTTCATCCTCTTGGCTGGTCTCTCATAGCCCCGGGGCCCGTGGAAGGTTCCGAGAGCCCGACAGCGACGACACACCTCAGGACCCGCTCCCAGACGTGCACCATGCCCAACAACGAAGGCTATCTTCGGGGGTGCGCAAACATGGATTAGCGATCCATGGATTTGGCGCGCGGCCGCCAAATCCATGGATCTGGGGAAGTGCCCTCCCCCTAATGCGGCCGGTACCGCCTCGCTCGGCGGCGGAAAACCGCGATTTCCCATGGAAACGAGACCCGTCGCTAATCCACGCCCCCTTGATCCATATTTGCGATCGCCTGATACATACCAAAAACCGACAGCGGCCGCTGTTGGGCAGGCGACGCTGCGCCTCAAACGGGCGACGTCCGCGGCAACGTCGACGGCAAATCCTGTCCAAGATGCACAGGAACCCAGACATGCGACGTCCTGACTTTTTCAGGATAGCGTCCTTGGAAATCCCGACTCTTTCCCGGGACCGGCTTTTCCTCCCGAGTCGTTTTTTGACGGTCCCGAGGCCTGGCGAGGGCCTCCAAGGGCCGAAAATTGGCAAAAATCCTTCGTCCAAATTCTTGTTGCGACTCGATCGTGTCTGGGTGTCCCTCATGACCCGCCTCCCCCATGGCGAGAAGGAAATCCCGCCCAGCCGGGCCGGCCGCCTCCGCCAGCTCCGCGCCCGCGCCCGCCGGGAGCGCCAGCGCCAGCCGCGCCGGGGCGCCTCCGTCCCGGCTCACGCTGGCCAGCAGCGCCAGCGCCTGCTGCCAGTGCTGGCCGTTCCTGGGGTCAGGTCGGGCCTGTCCCCCTACAGGCGGAGTTGGGACGACACATGTACAACATATCACTCACATGCTCAAACATACTCGAAAAAATATAACAAAATCGTTCCCCGACTATTTTTCGCATCATGTTTTAATGTTCCTCCTTTCTCCCAACCATCCTGTGGTGTTGGGTCCTCGTTTTGAAGAGACGGTCCCTACGTTCCTCTCCTCTTCTCCTCCTCTTCCCCCTCCTCCTCCCTCCTCCCTCTTCCATGCGTTTCACCCACCCAGTACAGCGCTTCGTGGCCCCATAGGGAACGTCACCGAAGGTCCTACTGGCACCGCCTGCATGCGTCCGCCACCACCCAGCACAGCCCTTGCCCCCCTGCGTTTCACCCACCCAGTACAGCGTTTCGAGGCCACATAGGGAGCTCCACCGAAGGTCCTAGTGGCACCGCCCGCATGCGTCCGCCACCACCGAGCACAGCCCTTGCCCCGTGCGTTTCCCCCACCCAGTACAGCGCTTCGTGGCCCCATAAAGGGGGTTCCACCGAAGATCCCAGTGGTACCGCCCGCATGCGTCCGCCACCACCCAACACAGCCCTTGCTCCCTGCGTTTCACCCACCCAGTACAGCGCTTCGTGGCCCCACAGGGAGCTCCACCGAAGGTCCCGGTGGCACCGCCCGCATGCGTCCGCCACCACCCAGCACAGCCATGGTTCCCTGCGTTCCACCCACCCAGTGCAACGTTTCGTTGCCCCACAGGGGGCTCCACCGAAGGTCCCAGTGGCACCGCCCGCGTGCGTCCGCCACCACCCAGCACTGCCTCGCTCCCTGCGTTTCACCCACCGAGTACAGCGTTTCGTGGCCCCAAAAAGAGGGCTCCACCGAAGGTCCCAGTGGCACCGCCCGCATGCGTCCGCCAGCACCCAACCCAGCCCTTGCCCCCTGCGTTTCACCCACCCAGTACAGCGCTTCGTGGCGCCCTAGGGAGCTCCACCGAAAGTCCCAGTGGCACCGCCCGCATGCGTTCGCCACCACCCAGCACAGCCCTTGCTCCCTGCGCTTCACCCACCCAGTACAGCGCTTCGTGGCCCCATACGTGGCTCCAACAAAAGTTTCCTTGGAAACTCGCAAGAAGAATAATATGTATGTAAACCCGTCGGCAAGATGAGAAGTCGCGCGCGCGCGTGCTCAGCGTTCGCACGCGCGCGATCCCAAGACGTCCCATGGCCACAACATGCTTCCAGGAATGCCTCAGGCCACGGACGATAACGTCCAGAGGACCCAGGATGATGCCACCCCAACGCGATCCCGCAATGGATTCTGGACCGTCTCAGGCCGACTCGCAGATGACGAAACATATGATCAACGCGTGACGCCGAGATGGCTCGATGGCAACACGATGGATCCAAGCGCACCCAGGGTGGCCTCATAATGACCACGCGATGGTTGCGTGATCCAAACATGACCGGGATATGAGCTCAAGATGACCTCGATACGACCCCAACACGGCAATAATACTGCAACTTATGAGCCCCATCTTACTTCGAGCCGATCCCAGCATGGTGGGATCCGTGAACGGCCCGGGATTTTGGTCTACCCCATTTTTAACGGGTGGGATTTTGATCGTCCAGAACTAAGTTTATAATATTAAAGCGGAAAAAGCCAGGCGGGATCCCGCCCGGCCCACGGAGGAAGACAACATTGCTAGGCTTCTACGGGGGTAGGGGGTTCGGAAGGGGCGTCGGTTACTTCCGCTGACATTGGCAAGCCTTCCGGCGGCCTTCCCCCGTCTTCCGCCTCGTTTTATTTCCGTTGACTTCCGCCGGCCAGCGTCGTGATGAACATTCCAGGAACTTTCATTGGGCCGATGTAGGGGGCTCCACCGAAGGTCCCAGTGGCACCGCCCGCATGCGTCCGCCACCACCCAGCACAGCCCTTGCTCCCTGCGCTTCACCCACCCAGTACAACGTTTCGTGGCCCCATAGGGGGCTCCACCGAAGGTCCTAGTGGCACCGCCCGCATGCGTCCGCCACCACACAACACAATTGCGGTATTCACAACTGCGTATGGTTGGGTCCTTCGCCTGGCTAATTTTTGTGTGTGTGATATAATGTTTGAACATTCCTCCTCTTACTTTTTTTGGGGGTAATTTTTGACCATTATTGAATATCCCTCCTGTCGAAGGACAGGCTCTCGCGGGCGCTGCCCGGTCAGGGGCTCTCGCGGGCGCGGCCAGGGGTCGCAGCACGCCCCCCCCCCCCCAAGACCAACGCGCTCTCGTGCAGGCATGTGCGCGCATGTGCGTCGGACTGTGCGTGCATGTGCGTATGATGGATACATCAAAACACAACGCACATGCCCCCGCACATGCCCGGGCACGACGTGCACAGTAGGAAGTCCATCCAAAAAGGGCCGCACAGGCCTGGCACATGACTGGTGCATGCCGCGCACATGTGCGCACATGACAGCGCAACAACGGCCGCACATACACCCACCCAGGGGTATAGATGTGAGTGCGGTGTACATCGTCGCGGCGCTTCGTACACGGGGGCATCGCGTAAGGGTGGCTTCGGCTTTTCTGTATGCTCCCGTTTACTATGCCACCGTCTGCGGCTCCCAAAAACCTCCTAGACGGGGGCGCGTGGCCAGACGTGGGAAACTGGAGTTTACCGTGCCCCCGTTTGCTGTGCCCTCGTCCGCGGCGCCCTGAGCACCGGGCACACTCTAACATGGGTTACAGTGGAGGCCAGTCCACAAGAAACCGTCCACAAGAAACCCGACCCTGAGACCGCAAGACGCCCATGTGTTTTTGGTGTGGGAACGTCACGCTTTCCATGGCAAAACCATCGAAGCCCATGAAACCCAGGGCACCCTGGAGGCAAGCAGGGTGTCTCTTGGCATGGGCCTCCACGGTAAAGATCCGTGGTTCTGGCGCGTGTGCCGAGCCATGGCGCCGGTGCCGCCCGATTTGGCGGCGGACCGCGCCAGTTCTTACGGAAGCGGGGCCAGTCGCCAATCCACGCGCCCGTTTCCGTTTTTGTGCGCCTCCTCTATGTCGTAATGCCTCTAGACGCCTCCTCCTCCTTTGTCTCTCTCCGCTCCTCATCCCCTCCCCCCCCCCACGACCCTCCTGACGTTTGCGCCGTCGCCTGTCGATGCTCATGCCCGATCCAACATCGCACGCGCTCCACAGCTGCAAAACCTGGGCACCTGAGCCGAAGCTGGGGCTTCGCCGTGTGCCCGCCGACCTACCCCCCCCCCAAACACGGCCGAAGACCAGCAAAACAGCGTTCAGCTCCAGCCCTGCTGCCTGAAGTGTGCCAGCGTCGTTGGGAGCAAGGCTGGGCCCGACGACAATTCCCCACCGAGACTGCGCGGTGTTCGAAGGACGAAGCCCCACGGAGAGGATGCCTCGCTACTCCTCGTGCCTCTCATCCAACTCCTCCTTCTGCTACTCCACGTCATCGTCATCATGATCATGATCTTGATCACTCTCCTCCCCACCAATCATCATTTTCGCCATGCTGCTGCTGATCATCATCAACATCATCATCACCATCATCATCACAATCATCATAATCATCAACATCACCATCAACAACAGCATCAACATCACCATCAACATCAACATCATCACCATCATCATAATTATCATCATCATCATCATCATCACCGTCATCATCATCACCGTTATCATCAACATCACCATTATCTCTATTAAACACAAACATTACCGTCACCATAACCGTCACCATCACCATCATCATCGTCATCATCATCATCATCATCATTATCAACATTATCCTCATCATCACCACCATCACCGTCACCATCATCATCACCATCATCATCATCCAAATCCTCATCAACACCATCGGTGACATCATCGTGCTCATCATCATAATCCTCGTGCTCATGATTATGGACACGCTCACGCTCATGCTCATACGCATCCTGCTCCTGCTCCTCCTCCTCATCGCCATCATCCTCATCATGCTCAGCATTACCAACAACCTCAGCATCCTGATAATCACCATCATAATCACCAGCACCATCCTCATCCTCCTCCTTTACTATCTCCTCATCATCATTAATCGTCATCATTCAACAGCATCATTATCATCATCACCAGCATCATCACCACCACCACCATCAACATCATTACCACCATTAGCACTATCATCATCATCATCATCGTCACCAGCACCAGCACCATCACCATCGCCGTCTCCATTAGTATTGTCATCACCGTAACCATCGCCATCACTATCATTAGTTTCATCATCATTATCATCATCAACATCATCATCTTCACCAACATAACCATCGCCATCAACATCACCATCACCATCATCATCACCATCATCATCACCGTCACCATCACAGCATCATCAGCATCAGCATCAGCATCATAATCAGCATAGGTCATCATCATCATCATCGTCATCATCATCAACATCATCATCGTCACCGCCATCGCTCTCGGCGAGGATAGAGGGGAGATGAGGGAGGGAGGAGACGAGAGGGAGGAAGGTCCTCCTCATCCTCCGGCTCCTGCTCCCTGCTCCTGCTCCTCCTCCTCATCATACTTCTCCTCGGGCCCGAGCTCCATACAGCGCAGACCGTGACGTGCCCGCACGCCCAGCTGGACGGCTCGGCGACGGCACGCGCCTCCGCCGAGAGGCTCAGCGCCAGCGCCCAGCGGTGCTCCACCGCGCACGCGTAGACGGCGTTGCCGACCGTGATCTCGTTCGGCCGCAGCCGCTCCTGGTGGGCTCGTTTTCCACCGCCACCACCAGAAGTAGGAGGGGGAGGGGGTCCTCCTCCTCCCTCCTCCTCCTCCTCCTCCTCCGCCTCCTCCTCCTCGTCCTCCTCCTCATCCTCCACCTCCTTCCCCCCTCCAACTTATGATGGTGGTGGTGGTGGTGGGAAACGGGCCCATCAGCTCCCGCCACATCTCGCTCAGCAGCTCCGCCGCGAGCTCCCACTCCCGGACCTTGCAGAAGGCGCTCGCGAGCGCCCCGCAGACGACGGCGTCCCACGGCCTGGCCGCCGAGGCCAGCTGGAGGGCCGCTCGCCACTGCAGGGCCTCCCCGCAGGCTCCGACGAGGGCGGCGTGGGTGACGATGTTTGGCCGCACCGACCTCTGCCGCATCGCCCCGACCAGAGACACGGCCTCCTCCCACCGGCGGCTGTCCCCGCAGCAGGCCACCGCCGTGCTGTAGGCCACCACGCTCGCCTGCGGCTCCCGCACCAACGCCACGGCCAACTCCTCGGCCGACGCCAACCGAATACCAAGCCAGCTCGATGCAGGCTTCCGAGCGACACGGCACGCGCGGCGGCGTGCATCGAGCTGATCCGACTCAGGGAGACGCGAGACTCGGGTGAGGGGGGCTCGGGGCGGCCTGACGGGGCCGACCCAATCTGAAACTTGGCACGGACTCCAGCCGCAAACGTCCCACGACAACTGGACCGTTGAATTCCCGAGTTCCAGCGAACTCGAGTCGTACGTTGCCCTGGTTCTGAGAAGGCCCCCCGCCTCATCAGAGGGTCGCCACCCCCTGACCTCCGAAGCTGCGAACCAAAAAGGAAATATCGTGAAACATTACGGCCAGAGCCACAGACCACATCTTTCGATCCCGGTATGAACAAAATCTCGAAGCCGTGAAAGCCGTTTCTCAGACTGAGGCACGATTGGCGTCTCGGTTGTTTGCACGCCCTCAAACGAGTGGGTGGCTCAGAACCAGAAGCCAAATTCTACATATCCGTGGATATGTGTACTTTGTTTTCGGCGAGCCAATGCAACACATCAGAAAACGTAGCTTCTACACGTGACACCGACATTTGTAGAAGCAAAACGCGAATTCGACACTTGAGGCAGAAATGTACAGAAGTATGCAAACAGGACTGTGCTTCAGCACAGCACGCAGCAAAGTGTAGAACTGGGACCTGAAAGCTGTAGACCTGCGGTTCTGAGACTCTGTAGAAGCCTCCCCGCCAGCGGTCGGCTTTCTAGACGGACGCGATCTGAGGGTCTGGCCGCAACCGAACCAAAAACATTGGCGTTGTCCATGCTCCCACTGCCCCCCAGCCGCGCACGCGGCGAGCAGCTCGCCGAGCGCCGTCGCGTCCATGCCGACGGCCCGCATCTCCTGGGGCGGCGAGAAGGTACCGACATCGCTTCTCTCAGGTCGGGCATGTTCTCCTACAGGCGGATTGTGGACGAAACGTAACCCATAGTCAGAACGCATTCAAACATAATAAATAAAAAGAATCGAAACATCGTCCCCCACTATTTTTGACTATCTTTGGATACTTCTCCCGTAGAGGGACATGCCCGATTTAACGCTATTTTTAGGTCAGGCATGCTCCCCCCCCTACAGGCGGATCTTAGACGAACAGTTAGAAGTAGTCATTTACACACACATACACACACACACACATATGTCTGTATCTGTACAGGTCGTAAATCTCTATGAATAGACGAAAACTCGTCCCCTGGCTATGTTCCGGCTGTTTCTGAATATTCCTCCTGTCGAGGGACACGCCCGAATTAACGCCCCTCTGGAAGGCTCCCAGGGTGCGGTCTGGCTGGAACCCTGAGGAGAATCCAGCCGTGGTGGCGACGAGGGCTCCGCAGGACGAGCAGCAGGATCGGTGCACCGTGCGCAGTGGAGGCCCATAGTAAGGATACACGACCCTCGAAAGTCCCATGTACCAGTTAGAGCCCCTGGGACGTCAACATTGACCCAGGATGCAAGGGCAGCCTCGATGAAGCAGCGCGCCCCTACCATGTATTATGTTTTTTCCATCTTCGGGGACCAACTGGCCTGGGCCAATCCAAGCCCGGGCCAATCGGGCTTTGCAGGATCCTGCACGATCCTGCACGAATGGCTCTGCAATATCCTGGGAGATCTGGCGCTCTGGCTGACCCCGTTTGCATCGGCCCCCGTCGCAATGAAGGGAGAGTGGATATTAATCGTGAATTTTGGCACTACGCTATGACATCGCGCTAGCTTCACTAGCGCTGTGTCAGAGCCAACCGACTGTGACACTACGCTATGGCATTACACTAGCTTGACCAGCGTCGGGTCTGAGTCAAACGAACCCAAAAAGGACTAGCAACCAAAAACAAAAACAAGCTCTTCCTTCTCCCCCACATTAATTGTAGCGTAGTGTCGCAATGTAGTGTCGCACCCAGGTGTCCCCAGCACTACGCTATGACACGACGTAAACCGTGACGTAGAATCTTCTGTCACGGAGCAGAATCCTGCGAGGCAAAACCATAAGGGAAGGCAAACAAAAAACTCTTCTCTCTCCCCCACCTCAACAGTAGTGTAGTGTCATCGTGTAGCGTCGCACCCGGAATGGCATAGGATTCTAACCGCAGGACGCCACAGCAAAACCACAACCACAGCGCACCACAGCGCACCACAGCGAAACCACAACAAACCGCAGCAAACCACGGCTGAACCATAGCTCAACCACAGCAACCAAGAGCAGTCCACAGCAAAACCATAGCAAACCACAGCAACACCACAGCACAACCGAGGCGAACCACAGCAAACAACAGCAAACCACATAACGACCACAACAAACCACAGCGCACCGCAGCAAAACCATAGCAAACCAAAGCGAGCCGCAGCAAAACCATAGCCAACCATAGCAAAACTGGGAGCATCGGGGAAGGTGTCCGCAACACTACGCTATGACACTACGTTGACCGTATCGTAGAATCCCTTTTCAAGGATCAGACTTGAGCAACACCGTGAAGAAAAGCCGACAACATTAGCCTGGCGAAGGATCCAACCATATGGAATTGTGAATACCGCAATTGTGGATACCATCTTCGCCCGCGCTCCATATGTGGCCACGGCTTCCCGCTGGAGCCCGACATGCTCAGGAACACGTTCGTGGCCGTCTTTGCGGGCGTCGACAACGACAAGGGCGGCGTCCGTCTGACCGAGGAGCAGTGGCATGAGAGGGCTTTGAAAGCCATGAGGGAGGAGGTGGCGTTGCACGCCGACAAGGCGGAATACGACGCCCAGGTGAGGTTATTGAGGCAACACAACTATGGGGCCACGATCCTCGTGAGGGGTGTGCCGCAATGGCCCAGGGTTCGTCACGCGAGCCCTGCCACTGGCGCCTTCGGTGGAGCTCCTGTGGGGCCACGATCCTCGTGAGCGGTGTGCCGAAATGCCCCGAGGCCGCCATGAAAGCCTTGCCACTGGCGCCGTCGCTGGAGCTCATATGGGGCCACGATCCTCGTGAGGGGTGTGCCGAAATGGCCCGAGGCCGCCATGCGAACCCTGCCACTAGCGCCTTCGGTGAAGCTCCCTATGTGGCCACGATCCTCGTGAGGGGTGTGCCGAAATGGCCCGAGGCCGCCATGCGAACCCTGCCACTGGCGCCTTTGGTGGAGCTCCCTATGGGGCCACGATCCTCGTGAGGGGTGTGCCGAAATGGCCCGAGGTCGCCATGCGAACCCTGTCGCTGGCGCCTTCGGTGGAGCTCCTGTGGGGCCACGATCCTCGTGAGGGGTGTGCCGAACTGGCCCGAGGTCGCCATGCGAACCCTGCCACTGGGGCCTTCGGTGGAGCTCCCTATGTGGCCACGAAGCTCTGCACTGGGTGGGTGAAACGCAGGGAGGAAGGAGGGGGAGAGGAGGAGGAGGAGGAGGAGGAGGCGGGAGGGAGGGACGCGGGGCGCTGTCTCTTCAAAACGAAGACCCAACACCACAGGATGGAACAACTTTTCCTTATCCCCCACGTCAACCGTAGCGTGGTGTCACAATGTAATGTCGCACCCAATTGTCCGCAACACTACGCTATGACACTACGCTTATCTTTCCCAGAGCAGAGTCAAGCAAAACCCTAAGGAAAAGCAAACAACACAAACATCGTCCTTCTCCCCCCACCTCAACCGTAGCGTAGTATCGCAGTGCAGTGTCACACCAAGGTGTCTCCAACACTAAGCTACGATACTACGCTAAGGGTAGCGTAGTGTCACAGTGTAGTGTCACACCCAGGTGTCCGCAACATTACGGTATGACAATACGCGAACCTTAGCGTAGTTTCATAGCCAATTGTCGCCAACACAACACACAACTATGACACAACATGGCCGTCCCGCCCAAAACTCCAGACAACCAGCTCCCGGCACCCGATCACTTTCCTCCCTCTCCTCCCTCTCCTCCTCCTCCTCCTCCTCCTCCTCCTCCTCCCCCTCCTCCTCCTCCCCCTCCTCCTCCTCCTCCTCCTCCTCCCCCTCCTCCTCCTCCTCCTCCTCCGGCTCCGGCAGCAGGCAGAGCGCCCTCTCCCACTGCCCGCCCGCAACGCAGACCCCAGCCGCTGCGCTGTAGCCCACGGCGTCGGGCCCACGCCCCGCGGCGCGCTGCTCCGCCAGCAGGGCGAGCGCGTGCCGCCACAGCCCGCCGCCGCGCAGGGCCACGGCCGCGGCGTTCCTAACCAGCCCCGGACTCATCCCCATCGCTAAGCTGGGCGAGCAAAAAGCGAGGACAATCTCAGGGATGTGCCCTCGGACACTGAGGGAATCCTCAAGATCGACATCGAAGTGTCACCGCACCGGCCTTGCAGACGTGCTGCAGCGGACTTCTGCGTGGATTTTTGCCCGAAGCGGCGAGCGAAACACGAAGTGAATTTCACGTGTATTCATTTCAGTCTTCATTCCTGGCCCAAGAGAATCCGCACGAAGTTCACCTCGAACTCCGGAACGACGTTCTCCAGGACACCCCTGGGCCCACCCTATCGTTTTCCGAGCGAAATCCGCTCTGCGATGTGGCCGCCATGAGAGGTGAGGTGATGCCAACACACAAGGACACGGAGATGCTTCAGACTGGCAAGCTCCGCGTCACGGCCCCCGGGCGCAGCGCCGCCGCCCGCGCCTCGGCGAGGAGCGCCAGGGCCCGGGCCCACTGCCCGCCCCGCGCGTGCGCGCTGATCGTGGCGTTGTATGTTCTGGCGGCTCCGAAGGGTGTGTGGCCGGCGTCGTCCCAGCATACTGATACTGGATATGTGCGTCGCGCCCCCCCCCTCACCAGGGCGACGCGCGCTCCGTTTTTTGTTGTTGTTTTGTTGTTGTTTTTGCTGTTTTTTGTTATATCTCTATATAGATATAGATAGAGAGATAGATAGTAAGTGGATCGTGGCCGGCGCTTTCTGGCCACACCGCTCGGGAGACGATCTACCACAAGATGGGTATACTATGTGTTCGGGTCGGCCTTCGACCGGAAGAGGTGCGCTCTCGACCCGCGAATCAAAAAAGTGCTCGGGTCGGGCGCGCGCCTCCAAGGAGGACGTATACTACCAGCATGTCTTTGCGCGTCCCGTGTGGCTTTGCAGGCCCAGGAGCCGGGCGTCTCGAACAAAGAGATAGGGACGGGGGCTTTTCATACAACTTTCGGCTTCGATAGGTCGAGTCGGGGATCGACTCTAGGATTGACTTACCCCAAACTTGATTTTCTGTCGAATCTACGAACGAATGCTTAGAATGCTCTACTGAACATTCTACGTATTTTTCGTGAACTCGACGAAGACATCAAATTTGGCAGCAAACCAATTCTGTAGTCGATCCCCTACTTGAATATGGGCACCTTCTGGGCCTCGGGACCGTCAGAAAACGACTCGGGATGAAAAAACCGGCCCTGGGGAATTGAAACAAAGTAGAATAAGAAAACACGGCATAAACATAAACTTTTGGCGCTCCGCGCGGATTTGGTGGACCTGCGTGGGACCCACTCCCTGGCGCGCGGAGCTCGCCAAGGGCGGCGCCGGAGGCGCCGCCAGGGGTCCCAGCGCGGATCCAAGAAATCCACGCGGAGCGCCGAAAATTTATGTTTATGCCGCTTTTTCTTCTTCGATGGGCGAGAGGTCGGTGGCCCGTCTCGAAAAGATCAAAACGCCGGATGCTAGGGAAGGGCAACACGGGCCTGATAGGGGGTGGGCGAGGGCCTCGACAGAGACGTCCGCCGAGCCCCCGACGAGGGATCATCAGACCTTTGGCGCGACGCGGTGGCCCCCGAGCCCTAATGCCAAGTCGGGCATGTCCCTCTGCAGGAATACCTATACAACCACCCTTCGGGTGATAAGGAGGTTGTGGGCGGGGAGAGGGGTGGGAACCAACATCTGACTAAATCGATCTCACTATCGATCTCACTCAACGGGACACCGCGGGCCACCACGGGCCACCACGGGACACCGCGGGACACCTCTTGATCTCACTATCGGTCTCACTATCGATCAGGCTATCGATCTCACTCAACGGGACACCATAGGACATCGCGGGACACAACGGGACACCTCGAGACACCACATCGATCTCACTATCGATCTCACTCAGCAGGACACCACGGGACAATCTCACTATCGATCTCACTATCGGTCTCACTCAACGGGACACCACAGGACACAACGGGACACCTCGGGACACCACATCGATCTCACTATCGATGATACTTGTCGATCTCACTATCGATCTCACTCAACGGGACACCACGGGACACCACTGGACACCATGAGACACCGGGGGACACCGCGAGCCACCGCTGGACGGGCGGGCGGGAGGGGGAGAATCATTCGTCTTGAATTCGCCCTGGCAACGGCGGACACAACAGGACACCACGGGACACCGCAGGACATCGCGAGCTACCGCCGGACGGGCGGGCGGGAGGGGAGAATCATTTGTCTTGACTTCGCCCCAGCAACGGCGGGTTCATTCCTCTCGCGCGCCTACGCAGCTTCGCCTCGCCCGCACGCACGTCACGAACGAAACGAAACGATCTCCCGGTTGGGGGTCTCCGTTCCTCTGCGACCTCACCCCTCAACCTTCGATTCACAAGTAATAAAGAAAAAAACAGGGGACGATTTTCTTAATACCTATGACTATTTTGGAATACGCTTTGCCTATGCTCGGTGTTTCTTTCAAAATCGGACTGTGGGAGGACATGCCCGACCGAGCCCCGATGGCGCAGGTCGCAAACCACAGCCCGGCTGTCTGGTCCCCGAGGAAATCCGTCAAACGAGGGGATGAAACAACACCCCATCTGCTCAAGAGCGGTCCCTGGAAAACTCCCCGGGGGTCCCATTAGTGCAGTTTTTACCCCGGATCCGTTTCTGACGGCCCTGGCCCGAAAGAGGCCCCCACGGACTGAATAAGGCAAAAAACCTGCTCGATCCCAAACCTCGAACCTGGTGACCCCAGCGCAGGTTCGTGTCGTGACGACCCCAGAATTGGTTTCTGAGACCGCGGGGATCGTTCGACATCGACCGATCCAGCGGCACTCAACGTTGAACGCCCACGGCGGGGTCGCCGCAGGTCGACACAGCGAGAACCTGCTCGAACCCCGGCGACGACCATATCGTCGTCGTCGTCGTCGTCGTCGTCGTCGTCGTCGTCGTCGTCGTCGTCGTCGTCGTCGTGGTGACCCCCGGTGTAGCCACACCCCTTGCAGTCGCCCACATGTGACGATGGTGGCCCGCAGACCTCGCCGCCCCATCTCGCGCAGGAGCCCCCCCGCGAGGGCCCAGCCGCTGCCGGCCCCGGCGGCGGCCAGCAGCGCGTGGTAGGCGGGCGCGTCGAGGCGGACGGCCTGTTTTGTTTGTTGATGTTTTTTTTTTTTTTCTCACCCTCCTTCTCCGCAGCTCCGAGGACGAGGGAGCGAGGGAGAGGAGGGGGAAGACGAGGCCGAGGGGGAAGCAGAACGAGGCGGACGGCCTGAAATTCTTGTGGTGTTCCCTTGGCCTGCTGGGCGATCAATAGGATCATTGGGTGAAGAAGAAGAAGAAGAGAAGACGAGGGCGACGAGGAGGCGACGAAGAGGATGACGCGGAGAACGTGAGGACAGCGAGGAGGAAGAGAAGCACAGGAAGGAGGACGAAGATAACGAGGGCGAGTACGAGGAGGAATGCGGAGGACGACGACGACGACGACGACGACGACGACGACGACGGAGGACAGTAAGAGGCAATTGGACGGCGAGGCGGACGGTCTGCATTTCTGTGGTGTTCCCTTGGCCTGCTGGGCGATCGTGGGGGGGCGATCTATACTTCGGGGGGCGGCCACGAGGGGGGCGTCCAGAGGGGGGGGCGCAAATCATGGGCCGCGCACGCGCCGTCATGAAATGATAAGAGGCGCCATGAAATCTGGGGAAATATCATGGCCCGCGCCATGATATCCCCCCCAGTCATCACCCCCTTCTGTGTCGCCCCCGACTGCTGGAACCTTTCCTGACATTAACGGGAAGCCTTTGAATCCGCCTGGTCTCAATCAAGGAGCGATCATCCCGAGCCCTTCCCCTCAGACTCCCGCCAATGGATGATATTTCCCTCCGGGCCTACACCAACGTCCATCGCGCGACTCTTCGAGTATGAGCGCGCTTCCCGTCATCTGCTGGGCGATCGTGGGGCAACCTCTGCTGGAATCCGCCACCGTGCCCCCTGGCACGTCGAGGCGTGGTAGAATGCCAAATGAACGACGATCGAAAACGGGTCTTGCGCGAGATGACATAGCGACCTTACGCGGTGGCTTACGCGGGCACCGAGCGCGGCACGCTACATTGGAAACGAGGGCGCTTACGCGCGACCTTACGCGGCAGCTTACGCGCAAATGTCGGCGCAGTCGACCCCGTTTTATTACGTCGCTCAAGTGCTGCCTGGCAAGGTTTCTGGAATCTTCTAAGGGGCCTCCACCTCCTCGGGAATCGCCTCGTCGCGGGCACCGGCCATACTCCTGGGTGGTCCCTGAGCGGCCGTGTCGCCTGGAACTCTCCCAGGATCCCATTACGGCCCAGAACGCCTCCAAGACGGTCCAAGAGGGCCCCGAGTCGCTGACGATCGCTCGAAGACGCCCAAGATGGCCTCAAGATGGCGCAAGAGGCTTCCAAGTCGCCCCAAGAGGCCTCCAAGAGGTCTCCCAAGACGCCCTCAAATGCAAAGTGCATTGATTGTCCTTGCGTTTTCCAAGGATTTGGGCGTTCTCGCCATTTCGGCTGTCCGACGCTCCAGGACGGCCCAAGAGGCCCTCAAGACCACCCGAAAACGGCCCGAGAGACCTCCAAGAGGGCCCCAAGACGGCCTGAGAGCGCCCCAAGACGGTCCAAGAGGCGCCCACGACGGCCCAAGAGGGACCCAAGACTGCCCCGCAGAGGGGCCCCAGAGAAGGAGCACGAACCGAACATCCGAGCCTTCCGCCTCCCAGGGCCCCCAGGAGGCCCCCAGGAGGCCCCCAGGAGGCCCCAGGAGGCCCCCAAGAGGCCACAAAACAAAGCCCCCAAGGGGCGTCAAACCTGCCTCCAAGATGCCCCCGAGAGAGGCCCCCCACGAAATTCCGACGAACATCCACCAAGCTTGTAGCCCACAACCCAGGCACGGTGGCGGGACTTGCCGTGGGCAGCTGGGTAGCTCACCAGAGGGGAGAAGGCAGAACTTGAGCATTCCTGTGGGCCTACCACGAGATGTTCTTAGAACCTAGAACTGTTCTAAGAACGAAAACAATGTTATTATAACATAAGCCCGATGCACTAGAACAAGACGGCCTCAGCCAGAAATGCCTCAAGAGCTCTTCGTGTAAACCACAGCAAGTTCTCAGAACATTCTTTGGT